CATTTCTACACAACTTATTCTGTGAGTAGAATGACACAGAGAAAATCATTTGGATTCAATGTGTCACTTCTTGTGTGTGTTTCATGAATCATCATGAACAAATGTAGTTTGAAAACCAGACATACTAGTCAGACATCCTTCAGGTGAAAGATTGTGTAATGTGTGACCCCCTGTTGCCAGTCATGTTTAAACTCACAACAACTGCAGAAGACATATTCTCAGGGCTGAAAGTCACATGAGACCAATCTGGAACTAGACTATCATTTTCTTTTTCACCGTCTAAGTTTCTGTGTCTGCAGTTTAAGGTGCAACCCCGCAGTTTTCAAACAACAGGGCCAGAAGCGTTTTCAAAAATCTCAACTTTAGGGGGTGGAAACACTTTAAGAGAAGCGTGGATGCCAGACATAAAAATAGCAGAAGCGGAGCATTTCAAAAACTAAAACTAACCTCCACCTGTCAGGATTATTCAAGAGAAACGGCGCCATAAACACCAAGTGGCGAATTTGAATGTTGCTTTGGTTTTCAGTTTTCTGTGAACTATCCCTTCAAGAGTTTGGAATAGTAGAAGATAAAGCAAAGAAGAGCTGCGTGTTGCCTTCCGTATTACATCTCAAATGATGTTTTTGACTCACTGTTTTGTGTTTTGCATTCAAAAGGTTTGTATAATCATCTTCACTCTACTGGAATGTAACCAGTAATCCTCTAATCCACGAACTACTGAATACATTTCAGAAAACTCAAATAAATGTAGTTTTTTATGCTCAGGCAATAGTTTAAAAAGATTAAAACAACTAATTGTACAAGTGAAGTTCATATGTTTTACTACAATTAATATACTGTCAATCTCTATAGCACCACTTAATGATTCTGCAGTACTCATTATATTAGATCTCACTGTAAATGGAGCTACTGGGTGCAGGTTGTGTTTTACTGCAAGACACTCGCTACCTTACTTTTATTTTTCTCTCTTTTCTTCATCTTTTTTCTGCCAAAGATTATAAGTATGTCAGACGATTTGCACTCTTTTCTCCTGTGTGAGCTCTCTGGTTTGCCATCTCTTGGTCTATACAGGCACATTGAGTTTCCTCTCAGTTTGGCTGCAAAGCTACTTAAATATTTAAATATTTGACTGTTTTTCTCCCGCCACACTTGTAAACCGCCTTTCACAAACAAAAACCTGCAACCCTCTGTGTCCTGAAGGCATGTATTTGTTTGCTCAGGCAGCTCTAACACAATTGCGCTTATCTGACTATTATCAACCAGCTGAACAATGTGTTCCACTGGAGGTGAAAACAGGCCTTTGAGAAGTCTCCCCATCCAGCCGTCATCACTACAAAAGCACCTAATCCGCATCTCCAAAGTTAGTCCTTTTGATATGTTTTCATGAACTTTTCACTCTTTTCCAATGAGTTGCAGTGTGTACAAGTGGATTTGTTTTCCTCACACACCTCATCGGAGCACTCTCTGTTATCGAACTGTAAAGAAGTTGTTGCAGTTGTTGCACTAAGTAAATCCAGTTTGTTAATATTGCACAATGAAAAGCAAAGATGTTTTTTGACAGATTTAGATGCAGGTGTATTAACATGCTAAAACTATTGACTAAATGTTATATGTTATGGTCAAATGGTATGAACTAAACCTCCAAAACCATCAGTAGAATAACTTGGTCATTAAATGACTACCAGTATACTAAATCTTAGTTTGGTTGGATTAAGCTGAAACCATTTATTAACATTTCCCTGCCTCAATGCCTCAATTCCCAAAATAGCAGTAATCATGGCTAGGGGGCAGTTTTGTCACTGAGCAAAGTAGACAACTGAACAAGGCCTACAGAGACTATATCTTTAAAGACTTCCTCATCCCTGTCAGCCTTGTCTGGCAAGGTAAGCAAGTCTAACACCGTCTACATCCTGCCTGCGTGTGTGTGGGTGTGTGTGGGTGTGAGAACCAGCATATATCCTCACTATCGCTGGCAGTGAAAACACCCAGGAAGTACAGTGGATTGAATGCTTAAAATTTAAAACATCAGTAAACTTGCAGATAGGGATGTCGGGATTAAGCGGTTTTACGATAACCGCGGGTTGATAACGTCATGATTTCATAACCGTAAGAATTGTAAATACTACGATATCTAACTATGGTGTCCTGCCTCTCGCGAGTCACGTTTCGTGTTTGCGAGCCACTGAAACATTAGTAGAGAACAGTGAACTGACTTAAC